GGAGAATGTTTATATATGGTTCTATATAATTCTTTATACAACAGTTAGTTCCGGCCACACAAGCTGATTGGTTGAGAGGCGTTCTAACCGTGCTGATATTTCACCATAACATCACAGGTTTTTCACAAACACTGTATGACTCTGCCTAGACGCTGTTGCTAAGCAACGAGTTTGACAGCTGTAGGAGACGCTCAAGCCATTTGAACGTTTTTACTTCTTACTTGATTTGGTCAGACTCTGAAGATAAGACTATACTAAGTTCCCAAACTGTCATCACCACTGAGCAGCTTTTTAGTCGGCAGCTTTGACAGAAGAAAACCTACACAACCTGGAATTAGCCAGACATGAACCCAACACCATTCGCCAAACATGTAGTCTCGTCTTTGGAGTCTGACCAAATCGGACTGAGCCATAAAACTGCCGCAATAAAAAACAAAAAAGCTGCTCAGTGGTGAAGACATTTTTGGAATTTAGTGTAAGGAGCTGGGAGATGAACTGCCAGCTGTACAGCGAGTGAGTGGAGCTTGTTACTGTGACGTAGCAACAAGCTGCTTGTTAAGGAACTATAATTTGGCGAAAGGAATTGCGAACATTAAAACATATTAAATGTCACGTTCACGGCCCAGTTTGTTTATTTCTTACTTTATTCGTTCGCCTTCGGCTCATGCCTGCGACCAAATCACAGCCATGTTATTTCACGATAACACACTCCCTCTCGTGTTCTGTTGCTTAAATATAGCACCAAAAAGCTTCACGTTGTAATAATAACAGAACCCTTTTTCAATAGTGTTGTACAACCATATACAACACATTCTTCACCATGCAAAGAACCATTTACGCATGAAATGGCTCTGTAAAGCACTCGTGGTTCTAAGTAGAACCATTGCCTTTACTAAAGAATCCTTGAAGAGCCATCTTTTTAAGAGTAGGCTTATTGCACAATGTAAACTGCATACCTAAATCAATACACTTGCTTCAACCTGTGTCAAGTTGGTTGTTAAGTAATTGTAGACTTTATAGAGTAATACTTATACTTAATACTATAGATTAATAAGTAGAGTTACTAGTGTGGTTTCTGCCACTGTATAACATCCTGCTAATGGCTGCTACTACTGTTTATAGCAATGTGATGTAGTGTATTGTGCAAAAGACAATGCTTCATTTATTCAATTCCCAGTCAAATTGCTTTTAAGTGCAAGTTACTCATTTCTGAGGATGTATTTCTGATAAGACTAGATTTAAGATAATCCACTTGCATAAGCAAAAGGCAAGTCAAAGGACAATAAGTGAAAAACCAGATGTTTCCAGAACTGGAGTTCAAAAATGATTAAAGTTAAAAAGAAAATGAGATTCCTAACCAGCACCTACAAGATGTGGGAGACCACTAAAACTGTCCCCATCAGATAAACAGCACTTAAAGCTTTCATCTTTGAGGGAGAAGAGAACATCAAGCTCCACTCTTGATTCAGATCTGAAAAACCCCACAGGTGTTTCTGTCCATCCTTCCACTGTAAGAAGGCAACTCAGCACTATGAGCCTGAAAGGAGGTGTAGCTGTCAAGAAGCTTTTACTGAGAAAAGGAAACAGACACAACAAACAAAGAAGCTGCTGGTGCTCTCAGATCAATGGACTGGCCACCCCAGAGTCCAGACCTCAATATCACTGAATGCGTTTGGGATGTCCTGGATGGTGAGAAACAGAAAATGCAGCCAACGTCTAAAACTGAACTTTGGAGGTGTGTAAAAATATCCCTGTAGATTTCTCCCTCTCGTGTTCTATTGCTATGTCTGATTTCTTTCCTGACAGTGAAAATTGAATAACTTACAATGGCTGTTTTGACTGTAAAGAAATAAAGGGCGGTCTCTGAGTTTTGCACAGTACTGTATATTTTGTCCATATTTGGAGTTCCGCTGGAATGAGGATTGAACTGTATGCAGTGGATGAACTGTGGAGGTTGACTACCCACCTTCTCCATGAGGGCTGCCTTGACTGCAGGATCATTCATATCCTTGCCAGACTGCACTTCCAGTCTCGTGATTTGTTCTTTTCCCTTATTTACTGGAGACAAAAATGTACACACATGTACACAGACAGACACAGACTGATGCATACATGCTGAAGGTAACTTAAGTAAGCTACATATGAGATTGAGTTCATCTTTAACTCACTTGAGTAGCAGAAGAAGTGGAATTCCTCTGAGCAGTTAACATCATCAACCAGACCTTTTTTTGTGGAAGCACAATTTTCATTTCCGTTGGCATTATTAGGTTTCCCAGGGAACCAGCTAATTTTAGAAGGTCTTGTCTGGTCTGACCACTTCCATGAGTCTCTGAATAGGCCGATCCAGGATAGGTTCCTTCCTGAGATTTTCTCTTTTATATCCTTATTGTCTGAGTCATCTAACGCGTAAGCCAGGTCTGTGTGCTGCTGTCTGCAGTATCTCTGAGCATTAGGCCATGTAAGGCTATTAGAGATGAAAATAAACCTGGTGGTGTCATTGTACTTGGCTGTGAATTTAAAAACACAATAAGCATATTCTGAAATCAGTGTTCAAGTTACATGTACCATCTTCTAGAATGCAATGGTGAATGAAGAGTGAAGATCATACATGAAAACAGCACACAAGATTAAAAGTAATTCTTTCTGGAGTTCAAAAAGACTAAAATGAAATTCCAGATTAACAAATCATAACTCAAAAACAAAAGGCTGCACAAAAAGCAGTAAGCAAATAAAATCAATAAATAGATTAATGGTTGTCAGGGATCACTTTAAACTCTACTAGTCATCAGAAACAATACATAAGTAAAATGCACATGGCATTTTTGAATAGCAGAAAACTAATTATGTCACTGCACTAATTTTATTTTAGTTTTTAAGGCAAGACACTACAAGTCCTGTCAACCATTTTTAGAACGTCTTCAAAAACCATCAAAATTCAACATTTGACTGTATAGCATTTTACCGGCAATACTTGCTGGAATTTGTGAATGAGTATCCTAATATCCCAAATAAATCACCTTCAAATATATATTGCACAGTAGTACCAGCACTATGTACATATCATAATTGACCATCATTTTAAGTAGGTTGCAACAGTGTATTTGTAGTCAGGCTGAAGCCCAGCTGTTCGTGCGCCTTTATGTTGCTGTGATAGAGTTTGCGATTTTAGCGCTCTCATTTAAATACAGATTTTATGAGTCACTTGTATCACTTACATAGCAATCATGAGTCATGTATCTAAAAAAGTACCAGGAAAACAATATTAATAACATAAATACAGTAAGTAATGATTATGTCAATATCGATGTGTTCACCTAACCGTTTATGAACCTCAGCCCAGTATGAATTGTTTTTGTCAAAACCTGTTTTGGCCACTCAGTGCTTCATTATGTGAAATCAGTGTGCTGGTAAAGGAATTCAACAAATTCATGCGATGGCTCGAGGTGTCGAGGAGAAATATGGAACTAAACTTTGTTCTTCAAAGTAGAACCTACCCGACTACTTTTTTCAGAATGAGAAATTCTTGGTACTTTTTACTGTATTTAAGTTGCTGTCAAGATATATAGTTTTAAACAATGTGCTTTAGTTAGAGGTAATAGGTATTAGTTTAGTTAGACATTTGCCTAGTACTGCATTTTGTTGATTTTCTATAAAATAAGTACATATCCTCTACAGAGAGAACTTATTTTCCCTTAGGGAATCAATAAAACATGTAGCCTAAATTAACCAAGGCTGTTCAAACTTATATATGTAACCACTTTATTATGTACACCTACTTTGTTTCTATACTCATTGTCCATTTTATCAGCTCCACTGACCATATAGGAGCACTTTGTATTTCTACAATTATAGACTGTAGTCCATCTGTTTCTCTGCATGCTTTGTTAGTCCCCCTTCACCCTGTTCTTCAAAGGTCAGGACCCCCCACAGAGACAGGACCACCAGAGAGCAGGTGTTATTTGGGTGGTGGATCATTCTCAGCACTGCGGTGACACTGACGTGGTGGTGGCATGTTAATGTATGTTGTGCTGGTACGAGTGGATCAGACACAGCAGTGCTGCTGGAGTTTTTAACACTTTAGTGTCACTGCTGGATTGAGAATAGTCCACCACCCCAAATATTCAGCCAACAGTGTCCTGTGACCACTGATGAAGGACTAGAGGATGACTAATACAAACTGCAGTAACAGATGAGCTACTGTTTCTGACTTTACATCTACAAGGTGGACTAATGAGGTAGGAGTGTCTAATAGAGTGGACAGCGAGTGGACACAGTGTTTAAAAACTCCAGCAGCACTGCTGTGTCTGATCCACTCACACCAGCGCAACACACACTAACACAACGCCACCACGTCAGTGTCACTACAGTACTACTGAGAATGATCCACCACCCAAATAATACCTGCTCTGTGGTGGTCCTGTGGGGGTCCTGACCATTGAAGAACAGGGTGAAAGGGGACTAACAAAGTATACACAGAAACAGATGGACTACAGTCTGTAATTGTAGAGCTACAGAGTGAACCTGTATGAAAAGTGGAGCTGATAAAATAGACAGATACAAATATATAGGTAGGTACCTAGTAAAGTTCATACACTCATTGAGTATCTCAGTGAGTATGTATGTATATATTTTTTATATATATATATATATATATATATATATATATATATATATATATATATATATGTGTGTATGTGTGTGTGCGTGTGTGTGTGTGCAAAAGATTAGATGCACCTGGCCATTTGTTCTGGTAAAGTAGCAAAGTGGATAATATGTTTTTCTCACCATCATAGCACACAAAGGGCTTCATCCCTGTGCATTTTTCATCTGACCATAAACCCTTCTGCGATATTACGCCACACTCCTGATGTCCATATTGGTTGTCAGGCTGCTCCTTATTCCAATTTGTCCAACCTTTCAGTGGCATATTTTTATAGGACCAGTGCCAGCTATTAATGTCATTGTAAAGGCCAATCCAAGCAGTGGAACTGAAATGATGGTCTTCTGCTTCTTTCTGAAGGTTTCTCATGTCATCATCACCATCAATGGTAGCCAGGTCAACATATTTGGCTCGGCAGTAAGTTTGTGCATTGGTCCATGTTGTCTCCTGCTGAATCAGATAATACTTACGCTCCACAGATGGGGCCAAAGAGACAAATCCTGTGGATGAGATCGTGTTGTAACAGGGTTAAGTCTTGGGATGTAGGACTTCTATCTTGCTTATTTAAGTTTTGCGTTATAAGGTGGATAGTATGTTTTTGAGTTACTTTAGTTGAGTGGTGAAAAACGTATTTTTGTACACCTGAAGCATCTAGCATATCTATGATGTGCGTTATTTTGGCCATTTTGCTGTGTCTGAGATGGTAAGCCTTTTTATCTTTTTTATTTCTTGCACTGACATCGGTATTTTCAGTAATATAAAAAGCAGATAAGTGTATTAACTGATTCTACAATAAAATGATTTTGATGATTTGTGTAAAATTATTCCAAAAAAAGCAACTTCACAGGTGTCAAATAATTAGTAGGAAGCTGTAAAATTTATTCATTTTACATGTCATTACTAATATTTTATCTATAATAATTAAAATAATTTAGAAAGATCTAAACATGATGAATTAAGACAAAATTGTCCAGTATGTTTCATATTTAAAAAACGCCAACCAAATCAGAGGCAGATAACTTACCAAATAATGACTGTAAATAGACAATTACAGAGTATTATTTGTCATTTTATAACTATAACAAAAAAAAGACATATAAATAATCTGAAAATACCTTTTGGTGTTCATAATATTTTTGTGTTTACAAGTAATTAGTGTACTCTGCATAAGCTATTATTGTATATCTAATAGCAAAAGCCTTCAATATGACAAGTGATTGTAAACTTGTGGTAGAGCAGTATGACTGCGTCTGGGAGGATGAAGGCTAATGTGTCTTTCTTAACAGCTGAAGCCGACCATCACATCTTGACGTTCATCTTTTTACCCAAGTAGCTGGCCGGCTGTGGTCTTGTAAATCCTTAGTCACACAGTTTTCTAAGGATGTTTTCTTAATTAACCCTTACAAGTCTACAAGCATTCTTATCATTTTACTATAATATTTAAATGTAATTATCACTTAACAGCATTTATTACAGTTATGTATCAGCAGGTTCAAGTTTGCACTTTCTGTTTGTTTTGATGTCAACAAATGACAAAAGCAAATGGCAAAATTGAAAAGAATGGCAAAAACAACCCTGTACCCAAAATGTCCAAAGAATTTCTCCGATTGTTTCAGTCAGCTACAAATGAGACATAATTACTTTTATATTACAACATGTTATTTATTATTACTGGCTACAGCTGTAACTTCTAAGGGTTAATCTTAAGCACTTTTTGGATGGGATTAGTTCGATGTGGGGAATTTCTCATTGATTTTAGTCCTGTCTGAATCTGCCATGTTAGAAAAGTGTAGATTACAATGCCATTTACTTACTTTAAAACCAACCGTAGAAATAAACCCAGGTTATTTTAAACCAATGCAAACTGATAAAGGTAGAAACGGCTATGAAAAAGGAGTTTTCATGGTTTTTCAAAAGTATAGAGGCACTCGACAAAGCATTTACTTCTCTGTGGTTCGCATCAAGCCGCTATGTATTGTCCTGCCTCAAGTGTAAGACTGGACTCTACACATTAAAACTTGTCAAATGACAGAAAAAGGTTTGATTTTATGGGGCAGCGTTGTATATTCTGAAGAAACTAAGAGTCAGAATTGTTCACAGTGGTGGTGATAGGAACCAGACGTCCAAAGCATTTAATGCTGTTAAAAGCTACATGGTCTCAAATACATTGCCTGATGCCTTGTGTGATGATAGTTTGAGATAAGCTTTTGGCCTAAAATGTGTATATATTAAGTCATTTTAAATTATATGAATTAGTATGAATTCTTATGTCCTCATAGTATTAATTATCACTAATTATTGGTCATACATTTCAGATGTCCTATAGAAAACTGCATTACCCCTTCTCCCTGTGGAGAACTAATCCTGCCTGAACAGCACTTTAGAGTAAGTCTTTTTTCTCTCAACAGTTTAGCCTTTCCATGTGTTAATGGTGCACATGTACTCCTTTTCTCCCTCACCTGCAAGTAACAGGAGTTGGAACAGACCCTGCTCCATCACTGATGCAGTACTGGTACCTCAGTCACTAAGAAGTAAGAAATTTGGTTAAAATCACAGTGTGCCAGTTGAAGGATTACCTAAATGCAAGGCTGCATTTGGCTTGACCACACTTGACTACTTGCTATTGAACAGAAATAACAGTCATTTTAAAACTGAAACTATCGTCTGAAATATGAATACACTTTGTTAATGAACTCCTTCTAACCAGAAGAAGAATTATAATCTATATTATTATCATTATTATGAAATATCACTCAAATAAGTCTGACAAATATAACAAATAGGATAAAAAGCTAGCAAAAAAAGAGTGTAAGTCCCAGATTATATACAGTATTTACACACATGAAGTGCACATAGCTAAAGTATCAGATTAGACCATTGAAAGGTACCTGTAATGAAGAACCCAAAAGATCAGTTATGTGGCTTCCTTCTCAGCGCTTATTCCAACCGTCTGACAAGCTAGTCGTTTATCTCCTTTCAGGCTAAATCTCTTATGCAAAACAGCTATCTTCCATCTTAGAATGGATTGCTTGGAGTCTGAGCAACAGGCCCTGATTTCCATCAGCACTTTCCATGCCAAACTCTTTAATCAGACAGAATGAATGAGCATGCAAATGAAGGTTGATTGCTCTCAGCTAGCTGAGGGAGGAACAGCCTGCAGACGGTGATGGAACGAAGATCTTCCCATCAGGTTCATCCACAGGTGCAGTTTCTACTGGGAACACTTTTCAAAATCGTTTCTCTCCCAACACACACATACATCAATCAGCCATAACATTAAAACCACCTCCTTGTTTCTGCACTCATTGTCCATTTTATCAGTTCCACTTACTATATAGGTGCACTTTGTAGCTCTACAATTACAGACTGTAGTCCATCTGTTTCTCTGCATGCTTTGTTAGCCCCCTTTTACCCTGTTCTTCAATGATCAGGACCACCACAGAGCAGGTATTATTTGGGAGGTGGATCATTCTCAGCACTGACATTGTGTGTGTTGCACTGCTGTGTCTCACATACCAGCACAACACACACTAACATCATTTTTATGAATGTACTATGGTTAGATGGTTAAGTGTGTATACTTATGTTAACTTCATCGTGCCCCTCCCCTCCATCTGAAACCAAAACTACAACCTTGGTCAGATGTTCACCAGATCATTAGACTTTGATCATTAGACAAAACCAAGCTTACTGCCTAAAGCTCTGATTACAGATGTGGTTGTGAGTCCTGCATTAGGACAGTTGTAGGAAGCTGTGAAAAATTTGGCTAACATGTTAGGTTTACATCTGCACGTGAGATGGCCTATGTAAGTGAGGTGGCCTGTGCAAAAAAGATATAGCATCACAGCCTAACTGAATTTTCTGAATTTCCCCTCTCGACCTGACGCCATTCCCAGTCTACATCTGCTAGCTTTAGCTCTTTAACGGTAGGCTTATTATTCAGTTATTAATCTTAAAGCCGTGGTTGGGCGTAATCTCACCTCAATTTCCTAAATTTTTCCCCTCATTCCAAGTGTAGTCAGTCAGTCAAGACCAGTTTGGTGTCTAAAGTTTGCTTCTTTAGTTTTGCACTGAAGCACAAATGAAAGCTTATACTTTACCAATTAGCATTGTGCAAACTGTGTGCCTAAATCATCACACATATTTCAGATAAGTTATTAAGTAGACATGGTAGTGATTTTTGACACTGTATGACATACTGTTATCTATACAAATGAACAGAGGTATGCACAATGAAAAGATAACACGTTTTAGATAACACTATGCCATACTGTATCAGAAATCACAAAAGCAAGTCTATTTGAGATTACTTGAAAACTAAAAAAGGTTTGAGGCATGTGTGTGGATGATTTAGGCAGCTGGCTAACCTAACATGTTTTGGCTTACATTTCAGATATGGGAAACCATGCTATGCTAACTATTCTATGGAATAAGGGAGAAATGTTACAATAATGAAACTACTATACAAGTTATGTAGTTATAAGAGTGTGGAATAGAGGCATAGGCCCACATACAGGGTCTGTTGAGCTAAGTGCCTTTCAAAAGGACCTTGTCATGCCATTTATTTCAGTAAAGTCATTCAGCAGACCTACTTCAGTTTGTAAGCCTGGATGTGAAATTCTATTAAGACACATTACTCAACATTGCTCAAAATTTTCTCGACAAAATACTTTGATTACTAACAATTCAACATGTTTAACAGATGCCTTCAACTATACTGAGCCATGCATTAAAGCTGACTTATTATTGTTAGTATCGAATGCTATAAAGTCGTTTCTGACTCCTGGCGACCATATGGATAGTTTTCTCCAGAATATCTTCTGTTTGGGTTCTTCACGTTTCTTAATGGCTTCTTCATGATTCCTCTGATTATCTCCATCCATCTTTTTGTTGGCTGTTTTCTTTTACCTTTGACTGTTCCAAGCATAATGGTCTTTTCAAATGAACTGGTTCTTCTCATGTCTAAAATAAGAGAACTTCAGTTTGGTTATCTGGCCTTCGAGTGAGAAATGAGGCTCGATTTGATCAAGAATCAGAATTGTTTTCTTCGCTGTCCAAGGTGCTCAAATTCAATGACATCAGTGTTTTTCTTGTCCTGATTTTTATTGTACAGCAATGTACTTTTGATATTTATTATCACAAGATGTAGCTGAATACTATAGTATTCATGGGCTAAGAATTTAGCAACTTGTTGAATTTTGCCGGTTGTACGGGTCAAATCTTTTGTCCATCATGCATACATTTTACATGATTTCATGTTTCAGTGTCAAATGAAATCAGTTCTTTTGTCTTCATGTTCTTCAGCCTGGTTGCGCACTAGGTAAAGCCTATGAGCCAACTCAGATGTGGACAGGGGGTGCAATTTGACTGTGCATTTGGCTAAAATCACAACTGAATACAAATCAGAGAATGACAAAAAAGAAAGGACAAAAAGTGGAAACATGACTCTAGGTTCAGAAATATCCAAGATATACAGAGAAATCATTGGCAAGTGAGGCCTAAATTGTGGTGGTGTAAGAAAGCCAGTTAATCAGCGAAGTAATCTCACTGAACTGCCACTTGAGGGAGACGTTCTAACCAAGAACATAAATTCCAACACCAGAATTTATTCAACTTTAAGCTGCAGTGAGAAGGCAAGGCCCTCTAAGGGTGAAGCTGCAGCTCATGGTAGCATTTTGCTCTGTAGATGAAAAGAAAAAGAAACATAGACATGTACCCATGTATGTATGGACATATACAAGTCTAAACCAAACAAACCCATAAATACATACACGGCATAAAACAAAACAGTTATTTTAACACACTTTTCTTCTTCCTCTACCTTATTAAATGACTGTTTGGTCTATAAAATCAGAAGCACAGGAGTCCCTCCTGCTTTTTTTCCTGTAGTTCCATTTTAGAGATTTTAGCATCCAAGAGAAACTCTTTTAACGTTTCTTCATTCATTTCAGCAAATAAAGGAGTGCACTTTGGCTAGTGTTTGCATTTTACAGCTGACTGAGGTCAGGCACTGTTGATGTCCCTGTCCTGCAGGGCGCTATTTCTAAGTTTCTTATCAGATCCCTGGACTGAAAACAGTGGTAAAGGAATAAATCAGGCCAGATACAATCAGCTGCATTCCCGGGAAAAGAGAGAGTGAAGAAAGCAAAGGGAGAGAAAGAGGCGGAGAAGTGGTGGAACAAACACTCCATTAATACACTGAGTTCAGAGCACGTGAATAGGTATGAACATATATGACTGCACATAAGCATGTACACATGGTGGCCTGACCTCACTGCTGTGGCTAGGAATTTGAAGTAAAGTGACAGAATGTTGCCTTTTATCTATAACTATTTCTGCTTTATTGTTATGGAATGCTAGCACTTATTTATGTTTGGCCAGTACATTATAGGTGAACATAAGTATATAATACAAAATAAACTAATAAATGAAAGTAGTTTAAGTGTTACTGCTGATTGTGTTGCCATCAGACAATTACAGCCCACACATACAGCCTTTGTGCCTGGAGATAGTATGAATTAACCAAGAAAAGAATTTAGCATATCACAGAATTTGTCCATTATAAAATCCATTTGCAATACCTTATGAAAAGAATAAAGATAACAGTGGAGGCAGTCAAGAAAACAGTTCCCTGTGTCCCAAAACAAGTCGATAAATATCGGCCCACCTTGTATATCCCCCCATGGTTACTAGGTCATTCCTGTGGTATCCAAAGCGGTTACTAAGGTGTTGCTTAGCAGTTGTAATGGTATCCCAGCATCATTAGCCTCCCTCTCTTGGGGTGAGTGGGATGGCCAGACACCACCAAATGTGGGCCTCTGTTAGCTGAAGTAATTTGATAACTGAACAATTAGTTAGCGATAGTTAGTGTTCTCCTTTGAGTGTGTTGAGCTGTCCAATGACGTTCCATTAGCGGCAGTTCAAAGAAAAGATGGCGCTTCATCCTCTCTGCTTAGTAGCATCATATGATGGGTGATTTAGTGGAATGACTAAATTTGAGCGGGTTGTGTCAAAATCCAAATAATTAAATAAATTCTAACTATACAACCACAGATTTGCAACACTCCTCCCATCTATGTGTGTATGATTAAATGCTAGCTAGTTTTGTTTTCTTCCTATCAGCATATGATCAACTGATCAGATGATTCTGATTGGTGCTTGGAAATCCATCAAACAATAAAAAAATAACAATAACAAAATTATGATGCTTAGGATGCCAACTATATTTTGAAATGTAATAATAATAAAAAGATAAAAAAACAAAAAGGTAAAAGTTAAAAAGATAAAACACAGGTAAACACAATAATATGTAAGCCACTAAGGAAAACACAGAAAGATTAGGTGAGCATATGCTAAAATGTATTTGTAGATATGAAATCACAAAACATACAACATTAGCAAGAAGACAAGAGGTTTTCAACTGTTCTTTGAATTATATGAGGGAGGAAACATCATTTAGCCTACACACAATGCTAGAATGAGCAGTAGGAGGTTTGCTGCCATTCTGAAGAGGAAATGGATGGAAAATGTCCAAGAAATTGTTCCTAAGATATATATACTCTGCACAAAACGTTACTACATTACTGTTTGACAGACAATACATATTATAGGTGGATGCACAGCACCTATGGAACACATTGAAGCTCCAGTATTGCATGTAGCCCATATGGGCAGTGAGGTCATAAGGATCTTGCTCAGTGATAAAATCAAGAAAAGGGGTGGTGGACCACACTGGTGAACAGAGTGAATTCTGGGTGAATAAATGCCCTTTATTAGCACAGATGGTTTGAGTTAGCGAATCATCACACACATTTTCAAATATCCTGCAGGCCTGATTGCTGATGTTGGACAATCTGGCTCTCAAAGAATGTCAGAAATGCACAGAGATGCAGACACTGACACGGTGGTGGAGGTATTTTGACAGGGCCTT